GCAAGCATGAAGTTCTGGGTTCAATTCCTCAGTACCACATAAACAAAAAAGGCCAGAATTGGTGCAGTGGCTCATGTGGTAAGAGTGCTAGCCTTGAAGAAAACAAACGAACAAACAAACAGCAGCAACAACAACAAAAAAAGCAGCTGAAGGACAGTGCCCAGGCCCTGAGTTCAAGCCCCAGGACTGACCAAAAAAAAAAAAAAGGTGTGGGGGGGAGCTGTGTGTCAAGTGGTAGAGCACTAGCTTTGGGGGGGTGGGGACAGGGGGAGCTCAGGGACAGCCACCCAGGCCCTGAGTTCAAACCCCAGTTCATAAGCACAAAAGTAATAAAAATAAAAAATGGTTTCATGATGCAGATGATGGGGGTCACCCGGAGCCACAGGTATCACCTTCGGTGCAGCAAGAGAAGATGACTATCAACCTACCAAAACATCCTACCGGAAGTCCCCACTCAAAGAGGCCCAGGAGGGGAGAATCACAAGGACACCACGGAGGGGGGTCCTGCCAGCCTGGTGAGGGTGACATGGCCATTGCTTGCCTCTTTGAGGACACAGTCCTCCCAACACCGCCCCCATCCCCATCCTCTGGGACCCAAGACTTGGGTGACCCACTCAGAACCCCCTCCCCCGAAAAAAAAAAGCCCGGGGCCCGCTTCCCACTGCGCCCCACCCTCCCAAACAGGGGGGAAAAGTCCTAAGGTCCCATCTCGCCTGGTTCGGTAAACTGTCGGGACTCCCCGAAAAACCCTCCATGTCCCCCAGCAAGGTGGGAAAGGCCAGGGCGCCCCGCGACACTGCGCCACGCCCCCTTGACCACAGGCCCGGCCCGGCCCACCGCGCGGGTCAGCACCGCCGAGCCACCAGGGGCGCTCTCGCCGCCCCTACCTTGGCTCCCCGAGTCCGATCCAGCCCGCCAGGTGCTCGCGTGGAAGCCCCGGCGGGGACGGGGGGGGGCGGGAAGGGGTTGGAGCCGGCCCCTGGCTCCGAGAAACAGACCCCAGGCCCTGGCGGAGGCGCAAACGGTCCCGGAGACTCCTGAGCTCCCTCGGCCGGCGACTCCGGTCGTCCCAAAATCGACCGCCTCAGAAGCGGCCTACGGCGAGCGCCGAGGCCCACACCGCGCGCGCCCACCCGCGCGCAGTCCCCCCCCTCCCCTCGCCCGCCCAAGTGCGCGCACGCGCGCGCGCGGCCCGGCCCGGTGCAGCGCTGTGAAGACCCTCGCCGCTTGGGGTCGTCGACTTCCGACGCGGCCTAGGAGGTCGCGGCCGGCCCGAGGCCCAATTCCACCGCCTCGCAGCGGCCTCCCAACTCTCGGAGCGAGCGAGCGCCGCCCCACCCCCTCACTCCCGGCGCCGTTAGCTCCAGCCTTCCCGCACTCACCAAGGACCTGGCATCCGGCGTCCCGCAACCGGGCCCGCGCGCCCCGCCCCCCCCCCCGAGGAGCGGTCGTCGCCGGCAGCCGTCGCTGTCCTGCCGCTGCTGCTGCCTCCGCTGCTGCCTCCACCGCCGCCAACGCCGCGCGCAGCCCCGCCCCCACTTAAAGCGACGGCGTCTGGGGAGGACCGGGCCCCGCCCCCGAGGGGGTGAGGCCTGGAGAGCGGGGCGGGGCTGTGGGCGGGGCGAGACGGGCGGGGCGGCTCCGCCCGTCTCGCCCCGCCCCTCAGCCCCGGGGGCCCCACCTGCCGCTGGTCAGTTCAGCTAGAAAGCTCTCTCCCTCAGAAGCCCCCAGCTGGCTCCTTTTTCGCCTTTTCCGGAAGGCGAATGGAGGAACTCTTCCCCGTGGTTGTCAAGTCACTTAGTTTCCTGACTCCCTCCCGCCCCCTGCCCGCCCAGGGAACCTGGAAGTTCTTGTTTACCCAGTTATCAGCCCTCCCTCCTCAACTCGATTCTTTCCTGTCTTTGGTCCCCCAATGAATTCCCATTGCTCCAGGAATGATGGATGGATGGATGGATGGATGGATGGATGGATGGATGGATGGATGGATGGATTTCCACCTCCCTTCCCCCCTTCCTCCCCCCCCCCCGGATCTGGGGCTGTCTTGTGTTCACACTGGGCTTGCTTTGCTAAACTGTTACTCTGCCACTTGAGCCCCACCTAGAACTTTTGTAATAGGTCGGATGGATCCAGACACGGTGGTAATACCTCTGTAGCACGGGAGGCCGACACAAGAGGCCCAAATTGTTGGGAGGCCAGCCTTTGTTACAATACGGAGACCCTGTCTAAAAAGAAACAAAACTGTAGCCAGCTGCTGGTTGCTCACACCTGTAATCTTAACTACTCAGGAGGGTGAGCTCTGAGGGTCGCCATTCAAACCATCCCAGACGGGAAAGTCTGTGAGACTCTCCCATTAACCACCATAAAACTGGAAGTGGTGCTGTGGCTCAAAGTGGTAGAGCACTAGCTTTGAGCAAAAGAGCTCAGAGGCAGTGCCCAGGCGAGTACAAGCCCCACAGCTGACCAAAAACAAAAAGCTAGGGGTCCCCTGAATGTAGCTCAATTGGTAGAATGTTACCATGCATGGGCCTTGAGTTTGATCTTCAACATTGGAGAAATATATATATATATATGTGTGTGTGTGTGTGTGTGTATATATATATATATATATATATATATAATTCATTTTTAGGAGGCTGAGATCTCAGGATCACAGTTCAAAGCCAGCCCAGGGAGAAAGTCTATGAAACTCATATCTTCAATTAACCACCAAAGCCAGAAGTGGAGGTGTGGCTCAAGTACAAGCCAGCCTTGAGTTTAAAAACAAAAACAAAAAACTAAAGGACAGTACCCTAGTACAAGCAATAATTGAATTTTTATAAAAAACAAAAAAATATAAATGTGGATTTGAATTCAGGGCCTGGGCACTGTCCCAGTTTCTTTTGCTCAAAGCTAGCACTCTACCACTTGAGCCACAGTGCCACTTTCAGCTTTTTTCTATATGTGGTACTGAGGAATCAAACCCAGGGCTTTATGCATGCTAAGCAAGCACTCTGCCACTAAGCCACATTCCCAGCCCTAATTTTTTTTATTTTTATTGTATTTTTTTACTTTTTTATGGTCTGTACTGGGGCTTAGACTCAGGCCTGCCTAAGGTATGTCCCTGAGCATTTTTGCCCAAGGCTAATGCTCTTACCACTTGAGCCACAGCTCCACTTCCAGCATTTTTGGTGGTTAATTGGAGACAAGAGTCTCATGGACTTTCCTGCTTGGGCTGACTTTGAACCACAATCCTCAGATCTCAGCCTCCTGAGTAACTAGGATTATAAGCATAAACCACCAGCACTTGGCTCACAAAGATTATTTTACCACATTAAACAGTCTCAGACATCTGAAACTCTAACCTAAACAGAGTTCCTTCCAGATTCCTAATAAACAGACCAAACTCCCCTAAGTCCTTAAGCACTTTTCATGATGACCACCAACCCTGAGCCCTTGTTTCAATCTAACGGGTGTTTTTTGTTTTGTTTTTTTTTCTAACGGGTGTTTTTTTGTTTTGTTTTTGTTTTGTTGGTCCTGGGGCTTGAACTCTGGGCTTGGGCGCTGCCCTTGCACTCTTCAGCTCAAGGCGAGCACTCTACCGCTTGAGCCACAGCACCACTTCCAGTTTTCTAGTGCTTTATAGGAGATAAGAGTCTCATGGACTTTCCTGCCCAGGCTGGCTTTGAACCACGATCCTCAAATCTCAGCCTCCTGAGTAGCTAGGATTACAGGCTTGAGCCACCCACACCCGGCTCTAAAGGGTATTTCATCTTCAGCTTTACAACGTTTTCCTAGGCCAGGACTATGGCTAGACCCATCTTAAATAAAGGAAACTGAGGCACAGACTGTTGATTTTTCCAAGATCATACCGGGAGAACCCAATGACCATGACTCCTGGTCCCTAGGCCTGTTGTGGCCATTGATGGAGGGACAGTGCTCTAGGGCTCTTCGCGTTTCTAAGAAGGCTTGCTCAAGTTTTCTAAAAAGGCTTCCTCAAATGTGATGCTTCCCGCCCCCACGCCACCCCACCGGGAGTCTGGCTGCTGGGACTCACCCCTCGGAGCCCACTGCTGTCCTGGAGACAGAGTACACACCCTCGGAAAGTCTTGACACCACCTGCAATAGGCAGCCCATGCAATTACAGCCCATTATGGCTTCTCAGGTTGGAGAGGCCATCCCATCCATTTATTTGTGCCAGGATGGCCTGCCCAGGGGCACGGCCAGGTTGAGGCACAGCTGAGACCACAATCCATACCCTCATCCAGTGAAACCCAGCTTGTAAAGGTGAGGCGGCTCTCTTTGCTCTGGGATAGCAGCTGAACACCTGCTTGGACCAAAAAAGCAATGCCTCACTCATCGCAAGTCTCTCAGTGACAAGCAAGGGACAATGGGGCCGAGAATGACCAGGAACCCTGCGTAAATACTTTGGCGGGACCAATGTGTACCAGGCCTCTGTCTGAAGAGCAGCTCCAATGTGATCCCAGGTCCTATGCCCAGTGTCTAGTACACAGTAGGTGCTCGATGTTTCTGGAATGCAGGGCTGCCCCTCAAGCCACCAACATGTAGATGATGACGCGCTTGGAGAGGCCCCCTGCACCCCAGGGCCTGCGCACCCCCCAGGGGACGCTGAGTCAGAGTGTGCACGCGCGCGCGCACGTGTGTGTGTGGGCGTGCGCGCTCAGACCGGGAGAGGGGAGGGGAAGGGAGGAGGGGCGTGTGGGAGGGGCAGAGGTGCGGGAGGATGGGAGGGAACAGGCTCCTGTGGGAGAAGGGGGTGTTGGGGAGGGGCGGAGCGCGCGCACTCGCGCGCGAAGCCGGGGAGGGGCGGGGCGCGTGGATCTGGCGCGGGGAGAGGCGCGGGGCCGCGGGCCGGGGTCGCGCGACGGCTGTGGGCGGCGGCTGCGCACGGCGATCGGGCATCCCGAGATTCGGATGAGCGACGCGGCGCCCGCAGTGTCAGCGCGCCCGTCCACCTACTCCCGCCGCTCCAGTCCCGCGCGCCTCCCGCCACAAGCCTGGCCATGGGCTCCGCTGTCTGGTGTCGCCTCGGTGGCCTCAGCCTCCGGCTGGCCTGCCTCCTGTCCTTAGCACCGGCGAGGATGGCCGCAGGTAAGGCGCTGCGCCCCACCATGCACCGGCCCGCGGCCAGGGTCGGGATCTTGTGGGCCGCCGGCGGAGAGCAACGATGCCTCCCCCTCTCCCTTTCACCCGTCTCCCCAGGAATCTCCGGATGCCCCTCGGGGCCTGCTCATCCCCCCCTGGGGTTGGCGATGACTGAGAAGTGCGCGGGATGGCCAACGCGCTCACCTACCTGGGCCCCGCGGGAGCCCTGGCACCCACCGGGGGCGGAGACCGGGAGGACGAAGCAGGGAGGCCCGGGGCGGGGGTTGGGGGGGAAGGGCGGTCAGTGGTGGGCATTGCGCCACAGACCCCCCCCCCACACACACACACTCCCCGAGGTCGGACACGCAGCAATTTTGCCCTCAAATGTCGTCTTTTAAGGGGGAGGTTTCCATTTAGGGGATTCTTGGGGACTTGACTGGGGGTGGGATTGAATTTTAGAACCCCGAGAGAGAGGCCAGTCTGCCATTTCTTCCCTGGAAATGATTTCCAAAATGGACCCCAGGTTGCTGCCCACCCCGTGCCTACCTCCCCTTCGCCCAAAAGACCAACAAGCACGATGATTCCACCACTTTTGGAGATCAGATAGGAGGGACAGGAGGACCGTGGGCAGCTATGGGGAGGGTAATTAGTAGCCAGCATTTTTTCATCTGTGCTTCTCCCACCTCATCCCCCTCTGACAGTAGTAGGGAAAAGGATCCCATGCAAATCTGTATACAAGCTGAACTGAAAATCTGTGCGTTGGGCCTGACTGAGAATCCTGTGGGAATTGTGTTGCGCAGATTCGCCTGCCCCCTCCTGGGGGAGGGGATCATATAGAAACGGAGTCTCTCATCCATTAGGGTTATGTGTCTAGAAATTATCACCATGCCCGACGTTGAAAAGAGAGGGGTTGGGGCTGGACAGTGGTAGCTCATGCCTCGCTATTTGGGAGGCTGAGATCTGAGGGTCACAGGGTCTGAAGCCAGAGGAGGCAGACAGTCAAAAAGACTCATCTCTAATTAGTAACCAAAAAGCTATAAGTAGATGTGTGGCTCAAGTAGTAGAATCCCAGCCTTGAGTAGAAAAGGCACCCCAACCCCCCACCCCCACAAAACACAAAAACGACTTCAGCCATGGTGTGTAGTTTCCAGGTTGGCAGACTACACTCTTGATACATACGGCTGAAATTGTAATCGCAAAGAAATAAAGGCTCAACACCCTTTTCCACCACGCTTCCTGGGGTGTAGGCCAACTTGTTTGAGTGGTCTGTACCACCGACACGCACAAATTAGAAATGCTGTACCCACTAATTTATCCCAGGTTGCATTCTCCAGACAGGTGTACTGGGCAAGTATTTGGGCTGTCTGTATGTGCCATGTGAAAGGGCTGATGGTGGCCATGTTCTGGAACATTCTAGAACATACCACATGGTATATGGTAAAGTGGAAGTCCTAGTGTCCTGGCAGGTGTTTCTCTTAGAATCAGGCTTTGGAAACACTTGCCCTTTGTGCTTTGGCTCCTTTAGCTCGTGGGCACCTGCGGGGCTCAAGTACCTTCCTTAGTGGTTTGATTTTGACTCCTAGGCAGAGTCACTAGGGTTCTGAAACCTGAAAGGATGAATCTGTATGGACAAGTGTCCACATCTTCATGATCCACTTCAGCCTGGATATCTGGACCTCTCCAAAAGCTTCCCTTCACCACATCCCCCCCCCCCCCCCCCCCCCCGCCCCGCCCCGCCCATTCAGAAGGACACCATCACCTAGAGTGTGAAGCTCCATCTTTTGAAAATCCAACCTGAAACCAGGCACTAGTATCTCACCCGTTATCCTAGCTAATAAGGAGGTTGAGATCTGAGGTTGGCGGATAGAAGCCAGCCCAATAAGGAAAGTCTGTGAGACTCTTATCTCTGATTAATTACACAAAATGCTGGAAGTGGAGCTGTGGCTGAAATGGTAGAGTAGTCACCTTAAGCACAAAAGCTCAGGGAGAGCGCCCAAGCCCTGGGTTGAAGCCCAGGACTGGCACCAAAAAAAAAAAGAAAAAGAAAAAAAAAAAATTGAATCTGAGAAAAAGCACTTGGGGGCCTGCTAGAGACAGGGCTGGCAGAGGATTCCCAGGAACCAAGCCAGCTACTGCAGTAGTCAAGCCAGAGCCCTACCCATCCCGCCCACGCCCCCTCCCTGCCCCAGGGTGCACCTCCTGATTTCATCCCCTTGGCAACCGATCTGCATCACTCAGGCTGCCCCCCACCCCCAGCAGATCCTGAGTGGGCATTAGCATGAGGCCCTAAGTCCCCACCAGCCAGCCTCCATTTGGCCCAGGCTCCTCCTCCACTGCGGGGAGGGTGGCGCCAAGAGCCAGAGGGAGAAAGGAGGGGGTAGCCTCTCTTCCAAGCAACTCTCTAGGAAGCCAGAGACTCGTGTGTGTGTGTGTGTGTGTGTGTCCAGAGACTCGTGTGTGTGTGTGTGTGTGTGTGTGTGTGTGTGTGTCCAGAGACTCGGTGTGTGGTGTGTGTGTGTGTCTCCACTACCCAAAGAGAGGGGGAACAGCCAGAGGAAGCAGCAGTGGCCTAAGCTGTTGGCCTCTTGACTCAATTGTAAATAAAATAAAAAATAGCCTTGAGCCATCAAGTGTTGCTCACATCTGTAATCCTAGCTAGCTACTCAGGAAGCTGAGCTCTGAGGTTCACGGTTCAAAGACGGCCCAAGCAAGAAAGTCCATGAGACTCTTATCTCCAAAAGCCAGAAATGGAGCTGGGACTCAAGTGGTAAAGTACTAGCCTTAAACAACAACAAAGCCCAAGGACAGTGCCCAGCCCCTGAGTTCAAGCCTCAGGATCATTTCCAAAAAGAAATAGCCTTGTAAAACAGGGGACACAGGACTTGGATGACAGGAAAGGCTGGACCCAAAGTCCCCAGTGGGGACAGGTATTGCTGTGTGGAGTTAAGGGGGCAGGTGCTTTTGAGGAACAACTCACCTTCTTGTTTTGCAGAGCCAACAGGTGTCCTGTGAGCCCCACAGGCAAGAACAAAGTGCCCTGGGAGGCTGGGTTCTTCAGGAGAATGGGGCACATAGAAGGGGCTCATTAGTAGCACCTGGGTGAACACCCTCTTGGGATCAGTGCCAGATGGGTTGCTCTGTCTGCCGGCTATCACTTGGCTAAATGGCAGTGCTGAACACCATGTATATGCCCAGAGGAGATGGCCGTGACTTCTGCCCTCAAGGAGTTCCCAGGGCACTGGAGTGAGGTTTCTCTTTTTCATCCAGCATCCTGAGCACAGAGGGGGAAGGGACACAGGGAGGGCTTCCAGGTAGTTATCTATGCATAAATAGGTAGACAGAAGCATATGCAAAGGTCCTGAAGCCAGGAAAAGCAGAACAGGTGTGGGAACAACAGAGGTTCAAAGTGTCTGGTGGCACAGATGTTGTTTTGTAAGATTTCAATCTGGAGGTCTTGGAATGTATCATAAGATGTCTACCCAAGCAGGTTTCTGTGACAGCACCCTGTGACACAGCCTGTTTCTGGTCTCCTAGGTCTGTATGAGCTCAATCTCACCACTGATGGCCAAGCCACCACGGGGACACAAGTGACCATCTCAGCCAGCCTGGTGGCCAATGACAACAGCAGTCTGACCCTGCCTGCCAGTGCCCAACTGTACCATTTCCATTGGATCTACACCCCACTCATGCTCACAAGCAAGACCGAAAATGATCTCACCTCGACCATCGGAGTGGTGAGCAGCGTACCTGGGGACTTCCCAGTCTCCGTCTGGGTCACTTCAGCTGACTGCTGGATGTGCCAGCCCATGGCCAGAAGCATTATCCTTCTGTCTTTCACAGGTGAGGGCTTCCATGGGTGCTAATTGTGCTTAGTGTGTGCGCATGTGCATCACACTTGAACTCAAGGCCTGAGCACTGTCCCTTAGCTTTCTTGTCAATGCTGACACTCTACCACTTGAGTCACAGGTCCACTTTCAGCTTTTATTTTTTAAAATTGTTATTAATAGACACGATATACAGAGGGATTACAGTTACTGTAGGGTAATGAGTCCATTTTCTACCAAGCATTGTTATTCCCTCCTTTTTTTTTTTGTTGGTCGTGGGGCTTGAACTCTGGGCCTGGGCGCTGTCCCTCAGCTCTTCAGCTCAAGGCGAGCGCTCTACCACTTGAGCTACAGCGCCACTTCCGGTTTTCTGGTGGTTTATTGGAGATAGGAGTCTCACGGTCTTTCCTGCCCGGGCTGGCTTTGAACCTCGATCCTCAGATCTCAGCCTCCTGAGTAGCTAGGATTACAGGCGTGAGCCACCAGCGCCCGGCTGTTACTCCCTCCTTTGTTTTTCCCCTCCCATCCCTTTCCTCCCCATCTCCCCACCTCCCCCACCCCCACAAAAGTTGTAAAGTTGGTTTTCAACATAGTGTGTGAGTACATTTCTTTTTGGACAATGCTACCCTTCCCTCTCTCTCATTCCCAGTTTCCCCCCCTCCCATCCCTATTCACAGGTTGTATAGTTCATTTTCAACAAAGTATCTAGTGAGTATCACTGCTGCATTTGCACACCCTTCCTTCCTCCATTCCTTGTCCTCCCCTTACCCTCCCAAAGACATATTAATGAAGATACAAGACAAAAAAAAAAAAAAAACACCAAAAACAGCAACCAAGGGAGGGGGGACACCCTCCTTTCCATTTCCTGGAGTTCATTTTGACAAATACTATTTTATATGATCAGAGACACATATGCATTGCACCTTTGTGATCCTCCCCAAAAAGTATTCTCCTTTGGTCGTAATGTGTGAATGTCTAGAGTCTTGGATAATTTATCATGTCCCAGTGTATTTTAGATCAAGCTTCTGCATGTGAGAGAAAATATGCGCTGACTCTCTGAGCTTGGCTTACCTCACTTAACATGATTTTTCCTATCCATTTCCCTGCAAATGACATAATAATCTAATGACTATGTAAAATTCTGTTGTGTATAGGTACCACAGTTTTTGGATCCACTCATCTATTGTAGGGCATCTGGGCTCTTTCCACAACTTGGCTCTTGTGACTAGTGCAGTAATGAACATGGATGTGCAAGTGTCCTTAGGGTATCCTGGCTTGTGATGTCCTTGGGTAGATGCCCATGAGTGGTATGGCTGGGTCGTAAGAAAGATCTGTTTAGTTTTTGAGGAAACTTCAGACTGCTGTCTAGAGAGGTTGTACTAGTTTACATTCCCACCAACAATGTAATAGGGTTTCTTTTTCTCCACATCCATGCCAGCATTTGTTGTTTGAATTCATGATGGGGGCTGGGAAGGTGGCTCAGTGGTAGAGCGCATGCCTTGCATGCATGAGGTCCTGGGTTCGATTCCTCAGCACCACATAAGCAAAAGGAAAAAAGCCGGAAGTGGCGCTGTGACTCAAGTGGTAGAGCGCTAGCCTTGAGTTGAAGAGCTGAGGGACAGTGCTCAGGCCCAGAGTTCAGGCCCCATGACCGGACCCAAAAAAAAAAAAAAAAAAAAAAATGAATTCATGATGGGTCCAGCCTTTCCTGTCATCCAAGTCCTGTGTCCCCTGTTTTACAAGGCTATTTCTTTTTGGTAATGATCCTGAGGCTTGAACTAAGGGCCTGGGCACTGTCCTTGGGCTTTGAGATGGAGTTGTTTTGATTTACATTTCCTTTATGGCCAGGGATGTTGAACATTTCCTCATGTGTTTGTCATTCTTCCCTCTTCTTCTGAGAAGTCTCTCCTTAGCTCCTTCACTTCTAGCTTCCTAAGCCGGGCACCGGTGGCTCATACCTGGAATCCTAGCTACTCAGGAGGCTGAGATCTGAGGATCCCAGTGGAAAGCCAGCCCGGGCAGGAAAGACCATAAGATTCTTATCTCCAATAAACCACTCGAAAACTGGCGCTGTGGCTCAAGTGGTAGAGTGCTCGCCTTGAGCTGAAGAGTGCAGGGACAGCGCCCAAGCCGCGCTCAAGCCCCACAACTGACAAAAAAAAAAAAAAAAAAAAAAAAAAAAAAACTCAGCTTCCTGAGCCTCAAGGATTGTAAGTGTAAGCCACTGGTGCCTGCCTTGATGCAGAGAAAAGCATCAGCCTAATATCGACACCAAAATCTACAGCTACTCAAGTCCCTTATGAAACATGGCATGGCTTATAATAATAATTGTAAATACCATGCCAAATTGTTTGACCTGTATTGTTTAGACAATAACAAGAAATATGTATGTGTTCAATACTGAAATTTCTTTTAAAGCCTGTACATTTCTATGTGCAGGCATTATTACAATTATTTTATTTATTTATTTTCAGTTGGTCGTGGGGCCTGAATCTGGGCCTGGGCGCTGTTCTTCAGGTCTTCAGCTCAAGGCTAGCGCTCTATCACTTGAGCCACAGCGCCACTTCCAGTGGCCAGTTTTGTTATGGTTTATTGGAGATGAGTTTCATGGACTTTTCTGCCCGGGCTGGCTTTGAACTTCGATCTCCAGATCTCAGCCTCCTGAGTAGCTACAAGTACAGGTGTGAGCCACCAGCACCCCGCTGGTTTTTTTTGGTCAGTCATGGGGTCTGAACTCTGGGCCTAGGCACTGTCCCTTAGCTCTTCAGCTCAAGACTAGTGCTCTACCACTTGAGCCAGAGCACCACTTCCAGATTTTTCTGCTTATTTGGTGCTGAGGAATTGAACCCAGGGCTTCATGCATGCAAGGCAAGCACTCTACAAGAGCCATCTTCCCAGCCCCTATTCCAATTATTATTAATAAATTATTATTAATGTTGAGATTGAGAGGTCTTGCTATGTATCCCATGATGGCTTTGAACTTGTGATCCTCTTGAGAACTGGGATTTCAGGTGTGTACCACTGTACTGGCACCATCACCAGCAGTGCCCACATAGCAGGAAGGTGACTATGGATGCCTCTGTGCTGAGGAATTTGTAAGGTCCCCTTCCCCATCCGGCACCTGGAAAGTCTGGGTGGGAGAGCAGTGGCTTTGCTCCCAGGATCCTCCTGCTCTGGTCCTCTGTGGACTTGCTCTTCTCCTGTCTTTCTCAGAGTTCCTTGTGGGGGACCTGGTCGTCACACAGAACACCTCCTTGCCATGGCCTAGGTCTTACCTCACCAAGACAGTCCTTAAAGTAGCCTTCGTCCTCCATGACCCCAGCAACTTCTTTCAGACGGCCTACTTTCTCTACAGCTGGGACTTCGGAGACGGGTATGTCCTTATACTTTCATGTTCTCTGTCTCTTTCTCTCTCTCTCTGTTTCAACTCAAGGCCTCATGCCAAGAACTATACAATTGAGGATTATAGGCAGGAGCCACAAGCATCTGGCTGGATTTGTTTTGTGCCAGTCCTGGGGTTTGAACTCAGAGCATGGGTGCTGTCCCTGAGCTTTTGGTGCTCTACCTACTTAGGCCACAGCTCCACTTCTGGCTTTCTGTGGTTAGTTGGAGGTAAGAGTCTCTTAGACTTTTCCTGTCTAAGCTTGCTTGGAACTGAGATCCTCAGATCTCAACCTCCTGAGTAGTTAGGATTACAGTGTGAGCCACTGGGGCCTGGCTACTTGTTATTTTTGAAGAGCTGGCATTTTTGCCTGAAGTAGATCTCAGACTATGATCCTTTTACTCCTCCCTCCCAAGTAGCTGGGATTACAGGCATGAGCCACCATACTCAACCCCTTATTTGCCTTCTCAATGCTCCAAAGCCAGGGCCAGTGGCCCAGCATGGGCTCTGCTGTCTCACATGTTTTACAGACTGCCCTCCACTTTCCATCAAACACTCCTTAAGCACTTGCTTTGCTCAGTGTCAGGCCCCAGGGAACCTCCATGAATCCATCTCTGGGCCCTGCTGCTGAAGTGTATCTGCCCAGTACAGGCAGGTACTGGCTGGTACCTGCACAACTCTCTCAGGAAGACAGGTCAAGATAGGGTTTTCTCACCTGATGACTCTGAATGGCATGCACTGTATTAGACAAGCATGAGGCCCCGAGTTCAAGCCCCAGTACCACAAAATGATGGTCACTGGTAGCTCACCCCTGTAATCCTAGCTCCTTAGGAGGCTGAGATCTGAGGATCCTGGTTCAAACCCATCTAGGCAGGAAAAGTCCATCTCGAGGTGTTATTTAATCCATTGATGATTTTATAGCTCAGGGAAGTCAGGTGCTGGTGGCTCACACCTGTAATCCTAGCTGCTCAGGAGGCTGAGATCTAAGGATCATGGTTCAAAGCCAGCCCATGCAGGAAAAGTCCATGAAACTCTCATTTGGCTCTGTGGCTCAAGTGGTAGGTTGTTCGCCTTGAGCTGAAAAGCTCAAGGAAAGCACCCAGGCCCTTGAGTTCAAGCCCCATGACTGACAAAAATTAAAAATAAAAAAATATTAAGGAGGACCTGCTAAAGAGATTACCTAGAAAAGACAGCAAAAACAAGCAAAAATAAATGCTTGTTATCAGGAGATTTTAATATTCCAGACTTAGTACCAGGGTACTGAGCAGGACCTCATGCTTGCTTCACTTACTTGATTACTGGCACTCTATCAGTTGAGCCATCCCTGTAGCTGGCTTTTTTTGCTGGTTAACTGGTGATGGAGTCTGAAAGATGTTTCTGCCCAGGCAAAGATATAAGCCATTATCCTCTGGATCTTAGGCTCCAGCATAACTAGGATTACAGGTATGAGTACTGATGTGCAGCCAAGCACATCCATTTGTAACAGGGTTCCATTACAAAGATAAGGTCAACTCTCTGGCCTCAAACTCTGAACTTATGGTCACCAAATCAACCCAAAGCCTTCACTCAAAGTTACATTGTTAACCTTATCTACAATGACTGAAAGCCACACCAGATCAACTCAAAGCCTTCATCCAAAGTTACATTGTTAATCTGTCCACAATGACTCAAAGCTACTCCAGCAAACAAAGACACCCAACAATTTAATACTGATTCTTGTTGGTTAATTAGAGATGAGTCTTGTACACTTTTATGCCCAAACTGAACTTGAACCATGATCCTCCTGGATCTCAGCTTTCTGAGTGCTAGTCACCAAATGACACCTGGCTTCCTGGCTCTTGATGAGAAAAAAAGACCCACAATCAGTCAAATACTTTTTGTGAATCAGGTTTGCAGATGATTGCCATAGCAACCTGTGGGTGACTAATCATCTGCCCCTGCAGCACAGGGACCATGAGCTATGTTCATCTGTTTCTTGGAGGACACATACATCTCGTCCACAGCAGAGCCCCATGGAGAGAGGAGAGGAAGCTATGGAAGACCTTCCCTGCCTTCTCTGGCCCCAGAGAGCCAGATGACCTTAAGCCCCAGCTGGTGTGTTCATGACAGGTGTACTCAAGGCTGGCCAAATGTCACCATACTGCTGCCCCTTATCCTAACAATTCCCACAAATCACTAAGTTCCAGGAACCACAGCTTTTTAGCTTCCTCTCCCCGCCTCTGTCACTTCACAGGACTCAGATGGTGACAGAAGATGGTGTGGTCTATTACAACTATTCGGTTATGGGAGCCTTCACGGTGAAGCTCAAGGTGATAGCAGAGTGGGAGCAGGCACAGCCAGATGGCTCCAAAGTCGTTATGCAGAAGACTGGTGACTTCGCTGCCTCATTGAAGCTGCAGGGTGGGTCTTCCCAGCTAGTGTGGGTCAGCTGACAAGTGCCCCCATCAGCTGGCCATCAGCTGGCTCCTCATCTCAAATTATCTGGTTCTCACTGATTGTGTGTGTGTGTGTGTGTGTGTGAGTGAGTGTGTGCATGTGCACGCGTGCATGCTTGAATTCTGGGCCTGGGTGCTATTCCTTAGCTTTGCACTCAATACTGGAGCTCTACCACTTGAGCCAGCTCCACCTCCAGCTTTTTGATGGCTCATTGGAGGTAAGAGTCTCCCAGACTTTCCTGTCTGAGCTGGCTTTAAACCTCAATCCTTAGCTCTCAGGCTCTTGTGTAGCTCGGAGCCACCAGCTACCGGCTCTCATGGATTCTTGTTCCCTGATCCCATCAGCCTCTGTTCATGCTGGCAGGGTGGGAGGCCTCAATCTACCACACAGGGAGCTGATTCCCAGGGGCATCTCTCTCCCCCCGCCCTCTGTCCCTCCCCTCTTCCCCCTCCCCTTCTCTCCCTCCCTCCCCCTCACTTGAGGCCACTGCAGGGATTTCTTGGATTCTGCTAATGTAGTGGTACTTAATCCTTGGTTAGAGCCAGTGGCCTTTGCCACTTCTCTTCCCTGGGTCAGCTCTAGCGCCTGCTGCTGATGGGGAGGGGCCTGTTGCCTTCCCTTGGGAGAGGGCCAGAGGAGAGGACCAAGTGGTAGCCAGGAAGAACCTGGGCTCTGGAAACCTCTGGACAGCAGTCCTGAATGAGTCCTGACAGGGTCTAATGGGCTCCTGTTTCTACACAGAAACCCTACGAGGCATCCAGGTCTTTGGGCCTACTGTAATTCAGAGCTTCCAAAGGATGATAGTGACCTTGAACTTCCTGGGGAGGTGAGTAAACCCCAGATGGCACTCTGGGTGCCCTGTGCCCTTCTACATCATGACAGATGCTCCTAAGCCTGCTCCACCCTCATCCTTCCCCCACTTTTTTTTTTTTGGGGGGGGGGGGTCCTGGGGCTTGAACTCTGGGCCTGGGTGCTGTCTCTCAGCTCTTCAGCTCAAGGCTAACGCTCTACCACTTGAGCCACAGTGCCACTTTCGGTTTTCTGGTGGTTTATTAGGGATAAGAGTCTCACAGACTTTCCTACCCTGGCTGGCTTTGAACCACAATCCTCAGATCTCAGCCTTCTGCATAGCTAAGATTATAGGCGTGAACCACCAACGCTGACCTTCCTCTACTTTTTAAATTTTCTTATAAAGTACTTGCTATGTAGCCAAGGCTAGTTTAGAACTTTCCATCTGCCTGTCTGCCTCCTGAGTGCTGAGATTGTGGGCACAAGCCACCATGCCTGGCTGGAGAGCCTCCACTCTTTCTAATCTACTCAAAGCCACTTCTTTCAGATTCTGCTCACACTGCCTTCTCCAGGAAGCCTTCCCTACATTCCTCATTCACAATGTGCTCACGGTCCCCACTTCACATTCTTAGCCTCACCAGGAGGCCTTAGGACATCTCCTTCATGATGCTGTGCTCTTGGGCTGGACTCCAGGGCAGCTTGATGTCAGGTCTTAGAAAGGACACTGGAATCTGTGTCCACCTGGGTTTTTGCTCCTTGCCAAGCCAGTTCTGAAGGTCATCTGTTTCCCTGCAGCCCCCCACTGAATGTGTGCTGGCGGCTCAAGTCCGAGTGCCTTCCACTGGAGGAGGGGGAGTGCCACCCCATATCCGTGGCCAGCACAGCTTATAACCTGACCCACATCTTCCACAGTCCTGGAGACTACTGCTTCAGCATCCGAGCTGAAAACGCCATCAGCAAAACACACCAGTACCACAGGATCCAGGTGTGGCCGTCCAGTAAGTGCAGCCACCTCCCCTCTCCACAACCCTGCTGCCCTGATCATCATAGCCAATAACCTACCCACACCAGCACCACCACCAGCCCTCCTGATACCTCACTACCACCAAATCCTTCCAGGTACCATTCCAACACTCTACCAACACCAGTACCACCACCACACCCTTCCAGTACCATCCCCAACACTGTATCAATGCCAGTACTTCCACCAAACCCTTTCATACCATTGACAACACTACACTAAGCCCAGAACGACCATGAAACTCTTTTAGTACTATCATCACTGATATTGTACCAACCTCTGTGTCACCACTACCACCAACACTCTACCAACCTAAGTACCATCATCAAACCCTACCAGTACCACAGATAGCACTGTATAACCTCAGTACAACCAACAAGCCCTTCCATTACGATACATATCAATCCCGGTACCAAACTCTGTCAGTACCATTAACAATAAGCTCCCAACTGCAATACCACCACCAAACTTACAGAACTCTTACAACACTGTACCAATGTCAGTAAGGAGCCTGCCAATTCCATGGCATCCCTTTTCTCCCTGGCAGGCCTCCAGCCAGCTATCTTTGCTTTTCCATGTGCCACAATTATTACCATATTGCTGGCCTTCATCATGTACATGACCCTGCGGAATTCCACCCAGCAAAAGGAGATAGTGGAGGTAAGTGCTCAGTGAGATGGGAGCTGGATCAAGGGCCCTCCCACAGGATTTCTGGAGAGGGTGTGGGGCTGAGCCAGGATGCCTGGAGGGGATTCTGAACAAGTCTCTGAATGTGGGGAACCATGGCTTACAGTCTTGTCTAGCATGATTAAAGCCCTGGGTTGGATCCCTAAGGCCTTAACACAACATGAAACAAGTTCCTGAGGGTTGGGATGATGTACCAAAGGAGCAGCTGGAGACTGCTTACAAGTGCTGATAGCTCACGCCTGTAATCCTAGCTTCTCAGGATGCTGAGAGCTGAGGATGGAGGTTCACAGCCCACCAGGACAGGAAAGTCTGTGAGACTCTTAGCTCCAATTACCACCAAAAAGTTGGAAGTGGAGCTGTGACTCAGGTGGTAGAGAACCAGACTTGAGTGAAAAAGCTCAGGGACAGAGCCTAGGACCTGAGTTCAAGCCCCAGTACAGAATTGTTGAGTGAGCTGGTGTCCAAACTGACTTACCTCCTTGCTTGCTTGCCCCTTGCCTATGGGTACTGCCAGATGCATTTCTGCATGCTGTTGCCAGTCAGCTGAGCTCCTAAGGCCACCAGACATGGCTCCAGGTGGGCAGTGAATGACCTGTGTTTACTATAGCTGGCTGATTTTTTTTACTCCCTTCCTCCCTTGCCCCCCATGTCTGACAAGAACCCGGAGCCGCACTCTGGGGTCAGTTGTTGCTGCCAGACGTGTTGTGGACCTTTCTGGCTGGAGACACCATCAGAGTACCTGGAAATTGTCCGAGAGAACCACCGGCTGCTCCCTCCCCTCAAGTCTGTCAAAACATACACAGTGTGAGTGCCCTGCTCCCGCTCAGCTCAGTATTATCAGATGTGACTCACTAGGAGCCTCAGGGAGGGTGGCACATGCTGCTTAGGAGGGGTCTCGTGTATGGGCTGCTCTGTTCATCCCTATATGAAGCCCCCATCCTCCTAGCCATCCTCCCATCTGTACAGTCCAGCCACTGTAGTTAGCCTCACTGTGTCCCCCACCCCTGCCCTCTGCCAACATGTGGTGTGCTCCCTTGGGACTCTCCTAGGTGGACCTGGTCACCATTCATTCCATATTGGCCTATCTGTTGTTCACCAGGGGTTCGTAGTTCCCTCCCTGGGGTGGCCCTGCTTATACTAGAGAACTAGGAAGGAAACTGCACATTCAGGATACAAAGCGAAAAGTTATACACAGAGATGGGCACACACTGAGAAATATGTGTCACATGGGCTTCCCAGAATCACTCTGGAACTGTAAGGGCCATTGCTAGGTGAACTTACACTAGAACTCAGATGAAATTTGGCCCTACCCACTCTACCCCTGTGCTTTGCCTCTGCAGCTCCCTGGTCCTATTTTAAGGCCACTTACTTTGTGAGTGCACAGGTGTGCTTTGTAAATTCATCTTTCTTATTGAAGCACAGAAGTTCAGTGTCCACTGAGGAGGTGGGCTGAGTGACCTGGCGTGGGACACCTTGTCCAGCAGCTGGAGAAGGGTGCAGGTGGCCCTGGCTCTCCCCCTCCAGCCAAGTTACAGGGGTAGGCAGAGGAGCAGGGAGAGCAGGTGCAGAGGGAGATGTGGGTTAGGCTGTTTGCAGCAGCCTGCACCTGATGGACTTGCAAGCTGGAGGGGACAGGGCTGTGTGCTATGACCTGTGCTCCTGGATTTCCTGGTGGGAATTGCATTCGCACCATTGTACAATTCATGCCCATGAAATACTGCCATTACTGCTGAATAAAGCTCTATTGCTCTGAGTATTGCCAAGCAAGCTGCCTGTTGTGGAGTCTGTTTTTACCGGTGGGACACTAGGACCTGGGAAGACACCACAGGACATCCATGAGACAGAACCCCTCATAGTTCCCTGTAACTTGGACGGGCAGTCCAGTTGGAGATCCCAGGTAGATACTGTGGGGAATCTGTCGGCCTGTGAGCTCAGCCTCTTACCTGAGTCCAAGCACCTGGGGAGGAACAGCCATCCTTATACACAGGCTTCAGGGGATTCGAGCTTGTGACTGTCCACAGGTGTCCTCACCCTGGACAGGTAGGAAGGATGTTCTGTAGATTCAAGCCTGACCTAAGTTAAGATGGGTTTCCGCGTAGACAGACATACCCCATAGGAACTGGGAATGAACAGCGTCCCTGGGCAAGCGCACGTCCACCTGGCACTTGGGAATATGGAAATCTGGCCGTATAGGAATAAGATCTTTGACTGGGGACAGGTAGTTTATATCTGGAATTAGTAGTTCTCTAACGACACTGACGCGCTAGCTTCGGACTGACTCCAGAACTACCAGGAAATATACTTTCAAGGACTAAGTTTAGAGATGCTCGCACAGCGTATGTACGTGGAACACACAAACATTACGTCTTACAGGCAACAAAGACTACAGCTTGTAGAAGATTCCTCTGCAGCGCCGACTGAGCTCTGGCGGGACCGCGGCCTCCCTCCGGAGGCCCCAAACCACCCAGAGCCCTTCTTCTCCCAAGACCGGGCGGGGCCTGACGGGTGCGGGCGGCGAGGCGCCACCACCAGGGTGAGGGCGGAGATGGGGACGGGACCCTGCAGGGAACGAGCTTCGTCGCCGCGGGGCGGGGGACAAGACCCTGGGCATGAGCAGAACGCAGGGCGTCGGGAAGGGAGAAACGCGACCTGGCCGGGGAGTCGGCGGGCCCGCGTCTGAAGAGCCCGGCGCGACACCGTGGGGTCTTTCGACGCCCTCGGCGCAGGGTTTTCAGGACAGTCTAGATCACTGCCTGGATACAGGGCGGAAAGGGGAGCCACAGAGTGGCAGAAACGGGGTATATACAGCACTCTAAGAGACTCTATAAAGATCAGGAGATATAGTGGGCTGAAGTCTAGGGGCGAAGGGTCCCCGAGAAAGTGGCTCAGTACGCAAACTGATCAGGCACCTTGGCGGACAGCCCCAAAGTCGGGCCTTGGGCGCCGTGTGTAAACAGTTCTCGGGGCGCCTCAGTTTCGCCCAACAAGAGCGGCATCTCGCGCCCCTCCGCCTCCCCAGCCCGCCGGAGCCGCGGGAGCGTGAAGGCTGGGCAGCTCGGGGCGCCAGCGGGGACGGAGCTCCCCGGCCGGGTCGGGATGCACCTCGCGCCGAGGGGAGCAGCATGACACCACCTCCGGAGACACCCCGGGAAGCGAAGCTGCGCGTCCGGGCCGCAGCTTTTTGGGGTTTGTGAGCTTTACACAGCCGTTTGTTATTTTAAAACAAAACAGAAACAGACAAAAAAAAAAAACACGAGCCCCAGAGCAAGCTTTGCGGGGTGAATGTCACCGTATTAAAATCAGCTCGCGGTGGAATCGTAAGCAAGATGGTAAAGAAATGGTTAAAGAGAGGGCTCCAGGCAAGGTGGTTTAAACAAAGCTTAAGCTTGTTGAAGGTACTGGCTTTTGACATTCAGTGAATGGTAAGACTGACTGTCAGTTTAATTTCTTAGTATTAGACTTCAAGTGTGATGACGGTTTATACCTAGTCTTTTTTTTGGGGGGGGGGGAGGGTCCCCTCGTGGGGCCTGAACTCTGGGCCTGGGCACTGTCCCTCAGCTCTTCAGCTCAAGGCTAGCGCTCTACCTCTTGAGCCACAGCGCCACTTCCGGCTTTTTTCTTTTTGCGTATGTGGTGCTGAGGAATCCAACCGAGGGCCTCATGCATGCAAGGCAAGCGCTCTACCACTGAGCCACCTTCCCAGCCCCTACCTAGTCTTTATACACATATTTATTTTCACCATTTTAGACTAGGAAAGTAAGGGGCTTCTTTTGTCTCTAGGTAGCTGGCTTGCAACTTGCCGTGTAGTGTGGAAGTTTCTGTCCTGCCTGCAGTTCTCCTAATCTCTTGCCTGAGAGCACTGAGGAGAACCACTATATCTGGTTTTTTTTTTTCATTGTGAAAGTAATATGTCCCTATCAAAGAGAATTTAGGAAGTAGAGGCAAAATTATATATATATACATATATATATAATATATATACACACACATATATATTCTAGGCATTACTGTGTTTATATGGTTTTCTCCCATTTCCCCTCCCCCCAATGTATGAATTTCTTTAAAAATTTTGTGCAAATGCTGAATGTGGCTGGTTTGAGTTCTCACATTTTATGCTGTTTCCTGCAGTGTGTGGTCAGTCTACGCTCCTCTGCCCTTTGGTCATGGAGCACAGCTCCCTGTGGTAAATTTGGCAATGTAAGTGCACCTATTAAAGTTTACTTGGCCTGACTCTCAGATCTGTGAACATTAACTTTGTCAAGTAATTTAGGGGCTTTTAAAATTAGTTATCGTCCAACACCAGCGGCTCACGCCTGTATCCTAGCTACTCAGAAGGCTGAGATCACGGTTCAAAGCCAGCCTGGGCAGGAAAGTCCTTGAGACTCATCTCTGGTGAACCACCAGAAAACTGGAAGTGGCGCTGAAGCTCAAAGTGGTAAAGCCTTGAGCAAAAAGAGCTCAGGGACAGCGCTCAGGCCCTGAGTTCAAGCCCCAAGGCCAACCAAAAAAAAAAGTTAATGTATTTTTCTCCCCCATTGTCTTAGCTTAATGCTGGACTATAAGTTTAAAGCGAAAAGACTTATTAATAAACTTTCACTGTAATTTTGTATTTATTTTTAATTTTTTGTATATAAATAGTTGCACAAAGAGGTTTCAATTGAACATGTCAGTTGAGTACAATGCATCTTCAACCAGTGTCACCTTCTCATCCTCCTCCTCAGCTATCCCAACCCACTCAGCCTCTCAAATTTCCTTGTTTATGTTTATTTAATGAGAAAACAGTATGAAGCAAAAAAAAAAACCACTTAATTTTCCTTTAAATGCTTAAACCATAATCACACCCGGCAGCATACAGACTAATGACCCAGCCCAACTGGCACATAAGATTAACTGTCTTCCTGCATTTGTGTCAGACATGCTTGCACAAGCTTTCTTGAACATTGCTGCCCCTCACAAGAGATGTTCTAGAAGGTTGCTGCCAACCATGCGAAGTAACACCTGCCAACCCAGGGTGGGCCCCTGCCTTGATGGGAGCCTGAACAACCAAATCTTCAGCTGTCCAGACCTGCTGGCTTGGTTCCCACGTCAAAGGAACAAAAGCCACAACAAGAAAATAACTAGGAACATAACGAAATAAAAAGATGTAGAAGACATTAATAAAAGGCCGCAAAATCAAACAAGGAGAAAAAACATTGGCTCCCAGATGTCACTGCACATTCTGGCCAGCAGGTGGCAGTGTGTGGCAAGTGCCTCGGACTGAAGGTCTGTGAGATCCAATTTAGGTTCAGTGAGGTCTTAGAGGTGTGGACTTTTATAGCTCCTCCCCTTCCACCACTTCGCTCCAATCCCTGCCTTGGGAGTTTTCTGTCCTGCAGCCCCGCTGCTGGCTGCTGTGCAGTTCAGTTTCCAACGTGTAGCTGAGGCTGGAGGAGGTACACCACAAAAGGTATGCTACCTTTTGTCTTGGGATTCTGAGGTGCACTTGTGTGTGTGATGTGACTGGCTGTACAGTCTCCTCCAGCATCTGAGTATATCACTTCAGGGCAGTGCACAGAATGGCATCGCCAAAACACGTTTGCTGACCCTCAGCAAGTTCTCTGGATGTTGGAGTTCAGATCTGTGTCCTCTGCTCTTGTTCTGTCAGCAGCCTTTGTGTAGAAGCAGGTTCGTAGTTTTCTTTCACTCCTACTGAGTGCTGGGAAGTCCTGCTGCTGTCTATATAATACCTGTCTGCTGCTGGCCCGACTCCCAGGGTCCTGGTCATGAAGCTTGGTAGAGCCTAGGTTCAAATAGGGCCATGCAGCTGCATGTGCAGACAGCACCAGACCCGTGTTTAGCTGTGGGAGGTCTCAGTTCCATCCCTTTAGTAATTAGGGAGGAACCCCAGAGCATGAGGCTGGGGTCCCATGATCAGATCTACCTTGAAAATGTTCTAGTTTGGGAAGGCAATCAGCAAGACAGCAAGCGTCTCTAAGTGTGTTGCTACACTCCAGAGTACCTGCGTGACAAGGACCCAAAGTGACAAAATCCACTCCAGCCTCTCATGGCTCCCAGGGACTATGCCTGCCTGCCACCCACACATCCACTTACCCACTTACCCACCCATCCATCTACTTGCCTAGCCATCCACCCACTACCTACCTACCCGTCCATTATCTCCCTATCCATCCACCAGCCTGTCCATTCATCTACCACCAATCACCTGTCCACCAGCCATTTATCCATCATTCACCCGTCTATCCTCCTACCCATCTTTTTATTCATCCAACCTGCTTTCCTCTCCTTGCCCTTTCCTTGCACATTTGTGGGCTAGCCTCAGCCCAGAAGCTGCCACAAGAAGAAGCTTTCCTGTCCTCAGGAATGGGAAGTTTATCTGCACATATCTTCTCTTCCTAGCTGAGCTAACAACTATGGGTTCTGCTTCTCCCTTTCTTTTTCTTTTTTTTTTTTCTTTTTTGGGGAGGGTCTGGTTGTGGGGCCTGGGCGCTGTCCCTCAGCTCTTCAGCTCAAGGCTAGCGCTCTAGCACTTGAGCCACAGCGCCACTTCCGGCTTTTTTCTTTTTGCTTATGTGGTCCTGAGGAATCAAACCCAGGGCCTCAGGCATGCAAGGCAAGCGTTCTACCACTGAGCCACCTTCCCAGCCCAGCTTCTCCCTTTCTTGAAGGAGAAAAAACCAAATAACCCAAAACATTCTTTGTGCTTTGTGTGTGTGTGTGTGTGTGTGTGTGTGTG